CAGATGTAGTGCTTGAGATGCCCAGATAAACAAGACGGACCCTTGCGTAACTTCGTATTCGATATTGTAGCAGGTTCAATTCCTAATTATCTAATATGCAAGAAAATTTCTATTAAGCGGAAGCTCTCTTAAGCGGACATTAAGATTTAGCTAAAATTTTCTTATAGTTTTCATAACAGAACGCTTTTTTGTGCAGACGCGGACACGAAAATTAAGTTTTTTAAGCAAGTTCTTTTAACCGGACAGCCAAAATTTTAACGGACAGTTTTATGTTTTTCTAGTATAAATATACATGCATATCAATAAAATTTACATACACCCAGTTCTCGAAAACTCGATGACAGGAAATATTTCGTCTTGCCCTCGTTCACTGCCAGACCAATTTGCTTTGCTTCCTTTTTCAGTCTGTCATGCTGAATATCTGGTAGGTTGTTGATTAGCCAGATCTAAAGCCACACCGATAAGGTCCAATCAGTTTGTTAACGGTGGGCTTTAATCTTTCACACAATACGCTCGATAGAACCTTATGCGCGATGTTAAGGAGGCTTATCCCACGGTAGTTGGTGCAGATTGAAGGGTCACCCTTAAATTCCAATCGTTGGACATGATTTCGTCCGACCATATTTTACAAAAAAGCTGATGCACGCTCCTTATCAGTTTTTCGCCACCTTGTTTAGAGTATCTCGGCCGGCATTCCTTCGACCCCAGCCGTTTTGTAGTTCTTCAGGTGGGTAATCGCTATTCGAACTTCTTCATGGTCGGGCAATGGAACGTCTGCTTCATCGTCATCAATTGGGGAATCGGGTTCCCCTTCTCCTATAGTTATGCTTTCCCTGGAGACTTACTGGAGAAGTGTTCTCTCCATAATTTAAGTATGCTCTGGGCATCGGTGACTAGATCACCTTTGGGGGTTCTACAAGAGTATGCTCCGGTCTTGATACCTTCTATAAGCCGCCGTATTTTTTCGTAGAATTTTTGAGCATTATCCCTGTCGGCTAGCGTATCAAGCTCTTCGTACTCACGCATTTCGGCCTCTTTCTTTTTCTGTCTGCAAATGAGTCTCGCTTCCCTCTTCAACTCTCGGTATCTATCCCATCCCGCACGTKTTGTGGTCGATCGTAACGTCCTCGTCGTACCTCCTGTTCTTGTGCACTTTCCGAAAACTAATGGTTTCGGTTGCAGCTGTACGTAAGGAGTTTGAAATGCTGTCCCACAGTTTCCTTATACCTAGTTGTTGACTAGTGTTCTCAGAGAGCAGGAGTGCAAGCCGAGTAGAAAAGTTCGACGTCGAACCTTCCTTGTATTTTTTGGCGTGCATTTTTTGCTGCAATGACGTGGGTGCGAATCTTGTTTTTTTTTGATCCGGATAGTACTACAAAAAACCATATTTCAGGCCCCGGCGAGGTCAATCAGTCTCGATCCATTTGGCTGTTTCGTCGTGGAGGCTGAATTTACCGACCGTGGCAGGGGCAGCTTTCATAGGTGCGCTCCAAGCGCTCATAGAAGGCATCTTTGGTCATATCGTCCTTCTCATCCGTCGTGGCGTGTGCGCAAATCAGCGATATCTTGAAGAACTTCGCTTTGATTCGGATTGTGGCTAGACGTTCATCCCCCGGCGTGAATGACAGTACTCGGCGATAAAGTCTCTCTCTCACCACGAATCCCACATTAAATTTACGCTCCTTTTTATGGCCACTACAGTAAATGCCACAAGGACCCACTCGCCTCAGTCCATGTCCCGTGCATCGCATTTCTTGGACGGCGGTGATGTCAGCATTCACTCTAACGATGACATCAACCAACTGGGCAGCGGCATCTTCCCAATTAATGGACCGGACATTCCAAGTGCATGCCCTCAAATGGTAGTCCTTATTTCGTTTGCCATGGTAGTGTTTTTTCCGTGACGGGTTGTAAATCCAGCGCACAATCCTGTGTGGATGGTATATTTCGCCTTCAAACGGATGTTCTTAGGCTACCCACACGTCACAGAGATGTCCAACTTATGAGAACGACGTAAGAGAGACTTATTTGGGTCTTCCTCAATTGACGCGCCAGCGGTAGCAATATTCTTGACACTATACGCACTTCGTTTGTCTCACTGGCACGGGAACATTTCGTACTGTGCCTGTGGATTCAAATTTTTCCACTAATTATTGATCTGACAGGACGATTATGGACCATTAATTGCACTGGAGCTCTTGGAGTTGACGCCACTAACTCCGTGAGTAAATTGTAATAATTTCGAATTTTTGGATCGTAGAAATGTCATAAGATCGGGAATTTTTTTGTTTCATCGCAGGAATGGCCTAAATCATTAGCTAATGGGTTTGGGTGATCTCGAAGTTTTGATATATATTTCATTCTGCTGTCCTCTACTTTTTTTTACCAAAGGAATACCACGATCTCTATCGCTATTTTCATTACCCATGTACCAAAGCAAGGACATGATTGTTCTAAGCATTTTCTATATTAACGTTTGTATTGTATTGTATGCCATACATCCAAATCGAGTTTATGATCGCATTATACATATAAAAACACTTTGTTGTCTAGTCTAAGTTTGGAGTATTTATTTAAAACCCAATTTAAATTTGCCGCTTTTATCTTCATGCAAGTAATTTTACTAGACATACGTTTTATCCACTTGAGCCTTCTATCTAGGCGAATACCAATATAACGTACTTCATTTGCTTGGGATACTAAAATATTGTTCATTTTTAATGCCGGGCACATTTTTGGTCTTACCGAAAATGTGACATGCTTCATTCATATTTATACGATAGTGACCTACCATTCTTCGGCAGAACTTAAGCACTTCGCTAGTATTCTTGATGCTAAAATGTGTAAAAAGGCTTTGCCATCCTCAAAAGTTGATGAAGAAGTACATTATTCGCTGTTGGAAGATCTACTGTGTATATTATGTTTAGTCTTGAACCTACAACTTTGCCCTGTGGTACACTAGCCCTTATCCGTCGTTCATCAGATATAAAATCTCCCGCTTAAACCATAAATTGTTTATTTTTTAAATAAGACTCCAATATTTTATTCAATTGTTAAGGTAGAAAGTTTTTAATCATATATAAAAGGCCTTCATGCCTCACCTTAGAAATAGAAATATATAGCTGAACAGTACTCTCTGTGATCATATGCTTTCTTATTTTCTAATTATTACTAATTCCATTTACTTGCTCTACTGTGCTATGTTTATTACGAAACCCGAATTGGAATTTTATTTTTTTTCGGAAAGGAGACATCTTTGATAGGAACACTTTCAAATATTTTATATATACAGGAAAGAAGACTGATTGGTCTGTATGAAGATGCCTATGTTAACTCTTTTCTAGCCACTATTACTACGTTTTGTATTTAAATTCTTTTTTAAGAATACATTTTGTTGTAAGATGTAAATCACCACACTCCACGCAATCACTACTTAGGTTGCAAAATGCTTTCGTGTGTCCATATTCTTGGCAGTATATGCCTTGTACTGAATCGTTTCTTTTGTATGGTTCCTCAAGAGAAATTCTGCGATGGAGCATATATTTTAGATTGTTAATCGGATATGTTTAACTTTTGTTAAGTTGGTTAGAATTTGGCAGCAATCCTATTTTGAACATTTGTTGTGGGACTTTGTTCCTGTTAAAAATATGTATTACTGATTTAATACTAAAACCACATTCTTCCAGTGCTATTTAACATCGTTAGAGTATACCGAAAATTCTATACCTTTTCTGACAGCAGGCCTTTTGAGCTCTTCAGTTGGTAAGAGTAGTAATTCTTGTTATTATTTGGCAAGTATTTAACAAAATTCAAAAAACTTTTAATTTTTGTTTCACCATTGTTACCATTTTTCAAAGGAACTATGTGAAAATTGTTGCAAACCGCTGATTTAATAGGACTAGATATCCTTTTTGCGTTTATGCAGCGATTAATGTTAGTCTGAAAAGATGGCCGTAATTCTTAAATTCTGCAGAAGTCACTTTAATACACCAGAGTTTTAATTTTTCAACTATTTGGCCTTTATACTTAGTCCTGCTTTAAGTTCAATTACAGTTCAAATTTGAATGTCCGTGTTCTCCAATTCTGACCACAAACTGTATTCCAATGGATTCAAATCTGAACTTCCAGACGGTCAGTCACCTGCAGCTATAAAACCAGAAATATTACTTTTTAGCCATTGCTTTGTGCTTTTTGACTCGTTGGAAGCTTTAATGCTCCCTAGCGAAGAAAGTTTTATTTAAATGCTTTACGACTCCTTTTAAAATATCCTGTATGTGCCCTATTTATATAGTTATGCACGCTATATGTAAGTGTTAAGATTGCCGAGACGAGTTGAAGAGGTAATAATTTACGATAATTCCCGAGCGTTGTACTAACGTGAACGTGCCTTACAGAAATCTTACGGAACATATTAAAACATGACCCCCATGAGCTGTCAAAATCAAGTCATCCCTATTTGTAGACGCTATATTTTGCAACCAACTAAAGCTACATATATTGACCACACATGCAGAAGGCCAGTTTTTCAATCACATTGTGAAAATGTGTGATATCGAGTTTTAACTACGTCCACTTTCCATAAAGGGACTGTGCTAAAAACTACTAACTCTTTAATACAACTTTTTAAGCATTTAGCATTAGGGTACATAAGACTCAGTGTACTGCCAACTTTTAGATAAAATCACAAATTTGGTGCATAACATTATCCCAGCATTCCCATGTTATAATAAGAAACTAGACTAAATTTGATCACAATCGCGCCTGTATCACAATTTTAAATCAACCCCAGTCGATCTGATTTTGTACAAATATTTCCAGAATAATTAAATTAAAAAGGTAATTATTAAATATCTCGAACCACGGGTGCGGTTTACGCGGAATTTGAACGAAAATTTACATGTAATCCTCATTTGTTCGATGTAAAGTCTGAAATTATATTCCTGGAACGACTTGTGTTTGTTTTAATTATATTATTTAATTGCTGTAATGTTACTTTTTAGGGGAAAAAAACGTCAAACAAAAGATATATTCATCTAATTCCAATGGTTGTTGAGCAAACGGGTAGAGGCGAGCGGGCTTACGATATTTTCTCACGGTTATTAAAGGAACGTATAGTATGTGTAATGGGTCCGATACATGATGACCTAAGCTCTTTAGTTGTGGCCCAACTGTTATTTCTACAATCTGAAAATTTTAACAAGCCAATTCACATGTACATTAATTCTCCTGGCGGAGTTGTAACTGCAGGACTGGCAATTTATGATACAATGCAGTATGTAAAACCCCCAATTTCAACATGGTGTGTTGGTCAAGCATGTTCTATGGGTTCCTTACTGTTAACTGCAGGCACTACAGGGATGAGATATTCGCTTCCTAATGCGCGCATTATGATACATCAGCCTTCTGGAGGAGTTCAGGTATGTTTGCTAATATAATTTTTATAATCTTACAACATTTTGCTACATAGTAGTTTTTTTCACCTAACAGTTTCTGTATCACATAAAGCTAATCAAGATAGATGTGGAGTTACATATACTAGGGTGGGCCAAAAGAAAGAGAATGTACTCTAAAAAATTGGTTGAGAGAGACCTTCAAGTATAATCGCTTAGTTGTAACGGGAAGGTCATGTTCCTAACGGTTTTCTAATTGCTCTTAAGAAAGTTTCATAACGAATTTTTTTGTAAACCAAACCTTACCATAAAAAAGATATTAATGTTATTATTTTAAAGAAATGGTGGAATCGAGCTATTATAACCACCCATATAGCACAATTTTAAATACCCTCAGTTTACACAATATGACACTCCAAAATACCTGAGAAATAATGTTGTTTTTCTTGTAGGTCTTGTCGAATAGAACGAGAATTAAATTTTGGAACATCCAAACACAAACTCGAATTAAATTTAAAAATAACGCAATTTTCTAAATTATAAGCGAACAATATAGCTGTGTTGAGAAACGTGCGAAGAGTTTTGTAGTGCTTTGTGATAATTTCCTTGCGAATAACAGAAGAGACGACTATATCACGGTTGTACACGAATTCTTAAGAAATGACAAAACAAATATACAAGAAAATAGTGGTCGATTTTAGGACTGTACTCACGTTAAAGATGCTTGTCATCCATCTATCACAACATCATCTGATTTGATTTCAAAGTTTTCGATCCGGGTGCAGCCATGTAGCTTTATGAAATAATTTGGCTCAGCCCATTTTTTCAACTGTTGTACCATATGGCTTTTTTGCCCTCTTTGGAGTTAAAATCGCCAAGAACAATCTTTACATTGTGGCTGGGCTGTTGTTAGAAGCGAACTTCATCACCTCAGGAAAGGCATATTTGAACAAATCGTTTTTCACTTCCGTCAGGCGTGAGCGTAAATCAGTGTTATGTTGAAAAAATTTGGTCCAACGCGAATTGTGGCTAGACGCTCCTCCATCGGAGTGAATGCTAGGGCTCGACCACTGACTCTTTCTCCCACCACGAATCCCACACTGAATTGCTTACCTTTAAATGGCCGCTGTAGTAAATGTAACTCCGTCCTTGTCCTGACTATTGAGATGTTTATAGAAATAGATATTTGTAAATACATATCTACGTTTCAGACTATATCAGTATGTGCTGGCGATAGTGAATAAACATAAATATTTGTAACATCATATATGTTTCTGTACAGATTTACAAAATATCTTATTTAAATTGTAGCCGTTAATTACAGTGAGCAAGTATTACAATATAAAAAGGAATTCCCTGAGTTGCCAAAATATATCTTTTTGAAGCAAAAACTTGGCTTAATAACGTGTTTCCGAACGTTATCTCAGAAAAATCTCAGAGAAGTCAAAAATCGGGGAGCATTGGACACCCAAAAGATGTTGTCGCCGGCGAAGAACGAAATCGCCGAGAAACGGCCTGCATTTGAAGAAATAAAATGCTGTTTCAGCAAGACAATGCACAGTGTCACAAGTCAGTGGAAGCGATGACAAAAATTAATTTGTCCGTTCCCACGACAGTCGGGTCTACTTAACCGGAACAGATCCGGATTTTTATCCGGCCAAGTATTGTCAGCTCGGCAGAATTCTGCCGCTACAACAACAACAACATTAATTACTTTTTCAAAATGAATATAAAAATGTGAAGCGTTAGTAGATGCCGGCAATTTATCGTTGATTCTGTTTTGTTAGTGACACATTAGTGCCACACTGTTCTCATCATAAGTCGGATCATTTGAGATGTTTGCAATACCAAATGTTACAAGCAATGTACAATGCTAAACAAGCGTTTACAGCGGATTGYGGCTTGAAAAGACAGCCTGACCAACCAGCCACAGTAACGGCTACACCTGATACCAAATTTGTGGGACCAGATGCAGTGAAATCATTAATGGGAACCGCTAACGACAACAACTCATGAAATTGGAGCAAATGGTTGCTGAAAAACCACAAGAACTCGGGGCTTAACACGTGGAAATTTTATCTGGAAAACAGGGGCTTAGAACAACACAACAGAACAGGGTATAAAAATTTGTGTTGGGAAAATATTATAGGCAGAAGTTGCATCTGAAAAATGTATATTCCAATATATTTCAGACTGATACATGGAACAGACCATTTGAGGGGCCAGAAATTGAATAAATTTGAGTTAAACTCCGAACCTCTATCAGTTATAACTCGGCTTGGATTTCCAAACACTGCTGCTCGCTTCTTCAAGCACTTTACGACTGCTTCTGCTCCAGTATTCTTAATTCGATATAGTCAGACGAATTTGGAAAGAGCATCCACGGTCAAGCAAATATAATTTAGGGATTTTTTCGGACTTGGTCGAGACATAGTGTCTCTAAAGACTTATCCCCTTTGTTGAAGATGAAGAATTCTTTCCGTCCAATCTTCGCTCTCTTCGTATTCAAATTTGATATCTAAAATAATATTGATATATTCTGCTTCCAAAACTACCAGTAGTTCTCTGGTTCGATCTTTATATCCGTGTCCTTGTCCACAGTCTCTTAGACCGACTTCGTACTCGCTTCCAACATCCTGCACTCTCTCTCGGCTCCCTGGCCACAATAGTGAACTCGCTGTCATTATGTGCTACTTCACAAGTCCTTCTTGAACGGATTGAATGGCGGTATCTCCTAGCAGCTTCCTCACGCTGATCTTCATCCTTCTGCACCACTGTACTAACATTGGGTTTGACGACTAATCCCTCAGGTTCTGCTGACCTTGGCCGTAGGAGGATCTCTGATGAAGGCCGTGCTGAGAGAACTGCGACTTTGACAAACACAAACAATGTGACTCGTGTGCGCAAATTTTGAACTCAGACCGTCGACTAAGTATTCGTTAAATTGCCCAGATCTAAAATTTATCAAAATCTGTGGTGTGCGCGACAATGGTCCCAAAATTGCTCACTGACAACCAGAAATTGCTTCGAGTGGAAGTGTGCTGAGAACGTTTCAACATGTGTTAGATTGATCCTCACTTTTCGAATAACTTAATCACAAGTGACAGATTGACTTTTTTTGTTTTCTTGCCTGAAAATCTTAACAACTTTTATATTAATCAAATTGCATCATACTAGCCGCTTAAATATTTACACAAAAACTTTCCAACAATCTTAACAATTTTTTTTTATACTATCCAAATTGCATAATATTATATTAGCCGCTTAAATATTTACACAATATATTTCGAAAAACCTTAAAAATCATTATTAAAAAATTAAATTTAACTCTTATCTGGTTTTTCCTTCCCTTCGTTCAACTCTGCTATCACGCCTCCTCCTTGGCTGTACTGTTCTTCTAACGTCCCGCTACTGCTGCTGCGTACTGGCGCCGTTACTCCGTATATCCCGTAATTGCTCCAATTATACCACTTCCGCTCCACCAATTTCGGTATAATATTTATTTATTGGTTATGACAGCATACTCTTGTGCCAGGAATTGATAAAATCGACACAAAGTGCTCCCCTCGTATACATATATAATATAAATATCTTCGAACTTTCGGTTGACTTTATACCGAATTTATTGGCCAATATGTAAAGATCGGTTTGTAATATCAGTGTATCCTTAAAATAGATAAAATTAGGGACCATCAAAGACATCGTCCACCATGAATTTGTTCCTCCTGGACATACCGACAACGCCAAATTTTACGTAGAAGTCCTCAAAAAAAGGGTCAATCGGGTCCGACAACACAATCGCAACTGATTGAAAGTTGCACCACGACAACGCTTCGGCTCACACCACCTTTCTAGTGAACATCCATCTTAGCAATCATTGTGGAACTTGGATCCTCTAAACAATGAACCATTTCAGCTCTTAACTTTTCCAGATTCTCTAGGCTGTTTAAAATAAGATCCTATAACTCCGTATCATTATTCGGTTTCTAAGAGATTTTCACTTATTCCGTCATTTAATTATTATTAGGTTGTCGACATATAAATATTAAGGGAGTTGACTTTCGAATTCAATAGTTTTTGAATGAATGAAAATATTATTTATTTTATAGTATGTACAGCTGATGGATGATCGTAAATTTAAAATATTTGATGCTACTATTTCCATGCCAACCTTTAATGTGGTTAATATGCACTTAAATGGACCCTTTTTAACCTTTTCTATTACTATAATTATAATTTGTAGTAGGTTAGGTAGCAACCAAGGAAAATATCTTCTTTTTTTTTAAGCACCACAATTTTGAAGCCTGCCGACCTGTGAACTGTAAGCAAAGTGTATAGTGGTCCGAATGGTTCCCACAAATGACCAGTTTATTGGGGAGAAAAGGACATGCAAAATTTAATAACGAAAGCTCACAAAATGTGGACTAGTTCGCGTAAATATAGAAAGACGGACATAGGAAAGTCAGCTCCTTTTGCTGGTCATTTACCCGCTGTTCCAAGTCTTTTTTTCAATAGCCTTTTTTTGACAGATGATGCATAAGTCATGTGAAGCTGTCATGTCATTTTTGTTCAGTAATGTTTCGCATTTCATCATGGAAAGACTTCCGCTTAAACAACGTTTAAAATCGTTCAACTTTATTATAAAAATTCGACTTAATACCACAAGCCGTGGACCACACTTTCGGTTGACCGTTACGTCCACCCCAACAACACGGTACTGAATTGGAGCCGTGCGAAGTTTCCACTAAAAACATGGATGACCACGTTGGGCGAATACCTAGCTATAATAAAACAATTTGTTCTGACCACAATGCAATTGCCAACCACGCCGAAATTATACACAAAAATGCGCCCAAAAACACCCACGGTAGCTTACCCGAGCAACAACACTACTAGAGTGTGCACTCGCCATTTGCACAAACAAGCATACTATCGGTACGCACACGCGCCAGGCAATAACAGTGCCAGCTCGACTGTGTAAACAAATAACCGCAAAAAGAGAATACCACAAAATCACCGAAAAAGTC